TAACAATCTGTTTTATTTCGAATTTAGGCCTAATTAGAAGATCAACATATAAAGGAATAAGGAGCGACTGTGATGACGAGAATTATATTATATATATTTAAGATAACTTAATGAGACGAGATACTAAGATAATGAAGATGGACACATCAGAAGTGTTCGGGTGTTGGAATTTGAGTCGCCCGCTCCTGTTCTCTTACCGAGATCGTATTTTGGGATCTCGACGCCGTGTTGTGTGGTATGCGTGGTGCGCGTAACCTAACTTCAGTCTAACGCTGAGCATTAAGTTGTGTAGTTCACTAATGAAGGCTTCTTATACATCCATTATATTTATTAACTCTGTTTTAACCAGCCTCCTGTAATTTGGGCACCTATACTAGGCTCCTTAGAGTCGCCAGCGGAATAAACAGCGTGGAGCGCTGACTGTTCAGCTCCCGGACACTGATTGGCCGGAACTGCCTGGGCGAAATCAACTCGTTGAACTGATTGAACTCGACAACCGTTGAAATCGCACGGGTTTATAGAAACGGAATCCGCAGTATATAAATCGACAAAATTACAGTAGACGCAGTAGGTAGTTGAGGAATTGATTATATGATGAGGGGAATGAAATAATGAATGAAATCGACGTTTCCTAATAAAACAAAGGTATCTGTATTTTTCTTTTGATACCAAGGTATTTCATAATTTCCGAATAAACTTGGGTATTGCAGAATTCCCGTTAAAACTCATTTATCTCAGTTTTCTGGGAAAAACTACGGTAACTCAGGCGAAATTAAAAAAGACCTATTCCATTAACGCTGATTAAATTGTGTTCAACTTTCAGTCGGCAAATTGTAAATCTTTAATCTGTTGAGAGGCTTATGCCCTCTGGCATTCTCTATTGATGTTAAATGGGAGAAAAGAGTGGAGTGATCACAAGGGTCAAACGGGAGAAATGAGTTGAACGATTACAAGGGTCAAACGTAAGAGACGAATGGGGTGATGACATGGGTCAAACGGAAGGGATGAGTGGAGTGATCGGAAGAGTCAAGCGGGAAGGACGAGTAGAGTGATAAGGGTCAAGCGGGAGGGACGAGTAGGGTGAAGACAAGGGGCGAGAGGAGAGATCACAAGGGTCAAAGGGGAGGGACGAGTATGGTGGTGATAAGGGGCGAGAGGAGAGATCACAAGGGTTAAACGGAAGGGGCCGAGTGGGGTGATGACAAGGGTCAAGCGGGAGGGACGCGTGGCGCGATTACAAGGGTCAAGCGGGAGGGACGAGTGGCGCGATTACAAGGTTCGAACGGGAGGGACGAGTGTAGCTTTTACAAGGATCAAACGGGAGGGATGAGTGGAGTGATGACAAGGGTCAAACGGAAGAGACCAGTGGAGCGATCACATGGGTCAAGCGGGAGGGACGAGTAAGGTGAGGACAAGGGGCGAGAGGAGAGATCACAAGGGTCAAACGGAAGGGACGAATGGGGCGAAGACAAGGGGGGAGAGGAGAGATCACAAGGGTCAAACAAAAGGGACGAGTGGGGTGGAGACGAGGGGCGAGAAGAGAGATCACAAGGGTCAAACGGAAGGGACGAGTTAGGTGAAGACAAGGGGGGAGAGAAGAGATCACAAGGATCAAACGGGAGGGATGAGTGGGGTGGAGACAAGGGGAGAGAGGATAGATCACAAGGGTCAAACGGGAAGAAATAGAGATTGATGCAAATCGATTTTTGACTCATTTAATTTATTTAATTTATGTACTACAAAGTTTGGGCATCTTCTTTTTCATTTGATTTTCTCTCACATAATCGTTATTAATATTCTGGACATGCCATTGCATATGAGTACGAACGTAATCTAAGATCAAAGAAGATAAAATATCTGGCGCATGAGTAAAGCACGGGAATGAGAGCATTCCTCCATCAATGGCCTCAGTGATGATAGCTTCGAACACGAAAGTCGAGTTGCAGTATTTTTGGAACAATCCTTCAATGTTGAGAATTAATGAGTAAAGACCTCAATTAGGATGAATCAAATTATCATTCAATTTCATGCCTGCATAAGCGGTGATGGGGTGATTTGCAAAATTATTCTCAGTTAAAATTTTTTTACAAGTTGGACATTCACTTTCTGAGAGAAGCTTCGAGCACAAACATTCTGACATATAGTACATCAAGCAATCGAGAACCTCAGGCTTGAATTAGTCATGCTCTTCGATCAAGGCAAGCTCATTCTCAACGGTCCAATCAGTAGAGGAAACAGATAGTTTCTGTTTTTGTTTAAGCTGATCCACCAATGTCGTATCTGGCTTCTTGTTATTAATGTATAATTCTTTTAATTCAGTGAGAGTAACAAGGCATTCGGATTGGTTCTTGTTTAACGTGCAGTTGCCAGTCTTTGGTGGTTTCAAAATGCTGTACGACGATAGAATTTTATAAATCTGGAGGAAAGTTGGTGTTGAAGGGTGATCATTACAGCCGCCAGCCTGTCTTACCGTTCCGCAGAATTGCTGGAGTAGAAAAAAGCAACACATCGAAAGAAATGACTAAATGAGGAAAGAATAACAGTCACTCACACAAAGCAAAGGCAGAAGCAGTAAATATAACAAATAATTCAATAGCAAAAGCAATCGTCATGAACTTTCTATGATTGACCTCCCAACCTCTAGTGAATCTTGATTAATTTCTCCTGAGAATACACATGCATGACCATTTTCCGTCAGATAATTTGTGATGTCCATCATGGATTGCAAAGATACTCACAAACCGTCAGCTGTTTGCGTTGTGAGAAAGGATTCTTTAGGTATAAGTCCACGCTCGACTTTCTTTTCCCACTCATTGAGTTTACGGAGAGATTCTTACAGTTTCTAATAAATTGCTCAGTGCAATGTTCAATAGGATAATTAGAAATTTCAAGTAAAATATCGACACGTACTTGATAGTGATGGTTATTCGGTTGTAATCCTTGTGGTGACGTATCCGTGTCATTCTCCTAGCTAGTTGCTTTGGGGATCTTAAGATTTAGAGTGTCAAATAAATTATTCATCTACTCGCAAAAATCTGCGGTCTCTTCACAATCACTAAGGCTTGGAACTCGAGATTTATAGAATGGTAAGCCCTGGGTCATCGAATTACTGAGAACCTGTATAATTCATTCATAAATTGGAATCATATACAAATGCACTTCGAAAATAGCTCAGGAGAAATTTACCTGGACTGCTAGTCGCACTCGCATTTTTGCGGAGTTGTTTAATTTCAAGTGATGAGGAGCAATGTTTGGGCATACTTTTATTTGTCCTGGATTATTCTTCTCAGCTTCGTACACATCCTCAAAATGTTTCCACTTTATCTCTGGTTTCGTGGAATCCATCTGTAATGGAGGCATTATTATAAACAGAACAAAATGATACTTAAACTTATGGTCAATAGGTGAATTCAACTCACTTGTAGTGTCGAATTATTCACAAGACGATTTCTTATTGTTTTCATCAGGTGAGGGCTTTCGAAAAACACATGAATTTTACGAGAAGGTTCCAGAGGATGAGTGAAGAAATTCTTAAGAGTTTTTCTTTTACAATTGATGCCCATCTTCTTCCAGAATTTCCTATTAGACAAGCTGCCATCGCATACAACACCATGTACTTTAGCTCCTGCTTTTTCCAGTAGAATAATAGCTTTGATGACTAATTGAGCCAGGACTTCACCAGTTGTGGAACCTCTAGAAGCGAATGCGGCAATCGGTTGTGTAAATGAATCGGTTATTGACTTGAACATGAATACTAATCCGTGATTAGCTCGTTCGGACAAATCATTAGCTTTGTTCCCCTCCCCCATATCTACAAGTCCCTCATATCTTAAGTTAGTAGTTTTGATTACGATACTCTCACGCGTAAACATCTCATCTAATAATAAAACACCGTGGTGTTCTTTCTCCTCTTTCCTTTCTAGGAACTTTTTCATCAGTTCGAAAAAGCAAGGATCGAACACACACTGATTTCGATAATAGCTAAATTTCTAGAGAAACAAAAATTCCCATTAAGACAACATATTGAAAAAATTCTTTGATGCATTACCTTCTAATTGTTGAGATTGATGGCAATGGTAGAATTTCATTATCTCTAATGGTATTGTAGCAGGCGGGAGAACGCATGTGAAGCAGCATGCACAACATCATCCACGGCTCTGAATATCGACGTCCTCTGCGACTCTTGCGTTTGGCAGTTGCCAATATTTCATTGACGGCAGTGATTTGATTTTTTTGCATGTTATCTTTTTTCATTTTCTCAACTTTATTCTCAACTCACGATTTTGTTGTCGTATTTCTTTCTTCTATCTCTTGACCTTCGCCAGTTTCTTCCTCAATTGTTTGATATATAATTCGTGATGTGGTGGGAAGAACAAACGCTGTTGCTTCGTGTTGCTCTCTTTTTTTTTGACGATTCTTTTTCCTAGCGAGACTTTTTTTCGCTGTCTTACAGAACTGACACTGTTTTAAATTGAAAAGTAAAAGACATTTGTTATGGCGTCTCTGACCCATATTGTCAGTATGAGTGACACTGGAATCAAATTGATGCAATTCTTTGGGTATTTTACAGCCAACACAGACTTTTAATTTGTCAATAAAAAACAATGCATGTTCAATGTCCTGCTTACTATTGATAGAAGTAGAAATTCCAAAAGAAGAGATGTCTATTTCCTTCCCTACTACACGCGTTTGGATTTTCATACTTGGCTCGATTATTATTTCTTTCAAAATCCCAGTTTTAACGGTTTCATTCACCATAACCCCTGACACAAAACTGAAATGAACCACTTTCCTTTCTTCATTTGATATAATATTAATGGTCCATGAAGGTGGTAGATTCAAGTCATTATCTTCCAGTAACTCCTTAAAAGTCCACTGTATCCGAGCCTCAACTTCACTGCAAGCTAATTCCTGAGCATCTGTAGAGCTTTGTGGTGGATGAGTTATATCACTGAATTTCGGGGCAGTATTTTTTTTGTCATCGGCCCTAGGAGATAAAGATGAGTCAACTGGTAAGAGTGGTGCAGAAATTGTCGCATCAGGAGAATCAGGAGGGATTATAGTTATATCGCAACATTTCGGGGCAGTATTTTTGTTGACATCGGCCCCAGGAAATAGAGAGGACTCAATTGGTAAGCGTGGTGAAGAGATTATTGCATCGGGAGGATCGGGAGGAATTGCAAGGATTGAATAATTAATCTCTCCTTTTGTTTGCCTCGCCTTTATTTGACGGATGATTTCAGATGTGCTTGTGATTGTGCCTGACCGAGAATTTCCTCCAGAGTAGACGATAGAATCCACTGATGCCTCAGTTTTCGAATGGCTCCCTGACCACGGAAAAATCGAGGGTGCTGCTCCTTTCCTGACTTGCTTTCGAGAATACTTCGTCTATCAAAAAACAACAGACAATTGTATAAGAACTTCACAGATACTAAACAACTGACAATCAATTAATTGATGAGAAATTTACTTACAGTTCCCCAAATCCTACCATCGTCTTCCTGATGCGCTGTTTCCAAGACACTGTCTCCTTCAGCAAAATGTATCTCAGAAATTGGTTGTTTTGGTTCCAATACAATTGGAATTGGTGGAGACGAGGCATTGATTCTCTTCTGCCATTGTAACATGACATCAGGTTTTGTTGACACCGTGAAAGTGTGCAACTTTCCATTCTTGGACTTTTGAACATTGCAATTCTGTATTATGCAGTTACGAGGCATTCTGGTCATTCGATAAATTACGCTTACACCGATTTATAAATTTGTATTAAAAATGACACTGTTTATGTGTTCATTTCATTAAAACATATCATTAGTATATCAAACAAATTATAACAACTATTCACAACCCGATTAATCACTTGGAAATTACAATATATTTCACTTATTTTGCTTAGCTCGACGGTTTTGATATAAAGGTTATGGAAGCCAAAACATTGCGGCAAACTCTCGAGAGATGAACAGACAGCACCCCACACGGTCTATTTCGCGGGTGACTCTAAGCTACCAGAATGCCAGTATATGAGCGTCATAGGAGTTATAGGGGGCTGTTTTCAACGACCGTCTCTCCTGCCATATCCCAAAGGGATTTTTTTCTATGCTTTATTTGAATAATACAGAGCCGTAACAGCAACGGTTAAATATGCAGGGCAACTTTGTAATAATTTCGGTCAAATTACAACCCCTACCACTGACGGGTTACTTGAGCATGTAGAAAGGGGGATTTTATTTCTCATTGTGGTAATCGAAGGCGTTGCGTGACTTTCAAATAAACTCAGTGGCCCCTTACGTTATAGTCTATCCAGGTATATACCGATCAACGGACTGTTCACCCTATTGTAAGTATGTGCAAATCATAACTTCGCAATTTTATTTGGTTTTTCAGGTATCATGGATACGCAAAAGGGATCTCCACATCCTGACTGTTGGTATATTGACATACACCAATGATCAACGATTCCAAGCCATGCACAGTGATGGTAGTGATGAATGGACGTTGAAAGTGACATCACCGCAGGTGCGAGACAGTGGAATATATGAATGCCAAGTATCGACGGAACCGAAAATCAGTCAGGCCTACAAACTGAGTGTAGTTGGTGAGTAAAAGGCACAATAAATTTATTTTTTGGTTAAAAAAATACCGTTCCAACTACACCTGGAAGGACTGACTTCATATAAATCGCGGGATAAAACGTAATTGTTATGCAAATTGCTCTTCTAGAAATTTCTAGTTCCAATCGAGGAAACAGACAATTATTGGGTTGTTTAGGAAGATTCCTCATGTAATCCACAGAAACTAATGTACACTACAAAAATAACATGAAACTTCATTTGCCCTACCTTCATGCGGTATCGAAAGAATAGAACATTATCGCATCAATGGTTTATTGTAATTTTTTTTCAAAAAAGCACTTTTGACTGGAATTTTTTGTTCAATCAGGTAATACCAGATACCGTACACTAATACCTGTCATAAGGTCAAAAATATAAAAAAATGATTTTCTGCATTGTTTTTAGTCAATAACATTGCTAGTGATACTTAGAATATGAGAAACTTGAAACACGCAGAGGACTAAGCCTATCCAACGGAAGACATCGAGACACAAGGCAGCATATCCGCCAAGAAATGTTTTGCCTTCCAATTGTGTGAAAACCGTGCGCTACCAATAATTTGTACAGGAAGCAACTCTCCCCGCCATTACCACCAAATGATATTCATTAAATAAAATTAGAACGCGAGAAGCTACGACAAAAATGCTGTTATTTACATCATATAAATTTCCTACAAGCTTTTCTTTGACGTAACTATTTCTTTCAGTCAATATTAACAAAGATACGCGCATACCAACGATTGATATTCGTATTGCTCCGATTCTTATTATATTGAATCCCACCAGTCACATTGGAGCCACTAAGTTGGTAGCAGTGCGGGCAACCTCATACACGATAGAGAAGGAAGAACCTTATTGTTTGTTTCCCGTTTGTACTCCAATGATTTGAACTTTTTTTTACTCATTTATTCATTGTGAAAATAGAGAAAAATTATGAACGAGGTAATATGCGCTGTACTTTGCGTAAAAATTTTACTCTTTCCTCGATTTACTAATATTCTCAACTTTATCCATGTGTAACATTTGAGCGAATTCATTTCTGGTGTTAGTTTACGCAGTTTATTTGAATCTTTTTGATCTTCCCATGGTATTTTCAAATTGAATTTGGACCATGAAAAATCAACAAATGGAAGTGAGGTGCTATTTTTCAAGAGTAATTGGAAATAGTTCCTGTTTTACGAGAAAAAAAATCAGTTCACATGGAAAAGTTATCATTTTTTTCATGTTCAATGATTTTTTTGGTAGGTTTTATTTCTTCATCAACTTCGAAGTTGAGCAAAACAAAATATTTTTCTTCAAATTCAACTGTCCACTGACATTTAATCGCAATTCTGGAGAAAAAGAAATTCCAAACATAAACCAGATCCTCCCAAATTATCTGCATCTGCACGGTCTGAATATAATTATAATGAGAAGAAATTCGAGTTTTCAATGAAACAAGCAGGGGGCAGCAAGCATATGATAGCGAGCATGTAACAGTGAGTATGGTACTGAATGATGTTTTAATGCTTTTTTCGCCATCAATACATTTGTGACATCCGTCGAAAATATTGAATTCACTTTTTCTTTTTTTTTTTAATAAATTAAATAATATTCGAACGGGAAAAACCGTTAAAATTAAAACTTTCTCTCGCGCCGGGATTTTTAGTTGAAAAGGCCCCGAAGGCCAGCTGCAAGTCGTAAAATTGCAGTTAACATTTTCCGAGCTGACTTTTCCCCGAAAAGTCAGTCATAAAGTAATAGACATGGGTCAGGGTCTTGTCATGCTGAAGGCATTTCAAGTGCACGCCCAGTCTATGNGAGCTGACTTTTCCCCGATAAGTCAGTCATAAAGTAATAGACATGGGTCAGGGTCTTGTCATGCTGAAGGCATTTCAATTGCACGCCCAGTCTATCTCTTTCTTTCTCTTTGTCTGGTAATTCCGACGTGACGTGTCCAGTATTCAAGTGTATTGGGGAAACTCAAACTGTCCCTTATCTTAACTTGGGGTCTGTTTTCTTTCAAGGCCCAGGCCCTCGTAAAACCAAATCCGAATTTCCGTCCCGTTTTGAAATCTTAATGGGGGTTCTTCGAGTTTCTCTTCGTAACGGGAAGTCATAAATTTATTTTGACAATTTTCGAATGTTTAAAAAAAATATTCCTTTAAATTAATAATTTCAGTACAGTTTAATTGCAAATTTTATGACAATTATTTTTATGTTAAAAACTTTTCGTTAGGACAATTTTAACTTATACTTTTGAATTATTTTCAATTCGAAAGAATATTTCAGTTAATCCAATTATATATTTCGTTACGAATTGAACTCCATTTAATTCTCTTTATGGAAAATTATTTTCATTTTCTTTTTTTTTATTTAAAAAATTTTCCATTTACGGATCCAAATAATTAATTTTCATTTCTCTGAGATAAACGAGAACGGCGTAATAAAGAATTATTACCTAGAATAAATAATTTTAATTATCCGAAATAATATTCGGGAATATTGAAATATGTTTAAGATTATTAAATAAGAATTATTAGTTAATCATTACATTGTTTAATTTGTATTTTAAAAAAAATGAGATTGTGGAGGGAGAAAATGGGACCTCCCGAAACAATTCTCATTGGCAGTCGAGGGTTGGAAAAGTCCGCCCACACTCTCGACATCTCGATGTAGAGGGGTCGGAGTTAACCCTGAAACATTGAGAGCGGAGTGCAAGGAAGGGAAATTCGGGCCCAAGGTCATCGACTATTGGTTCCCTAGATTTTCCCTCCGTACATCTGAGGACACACCCTCAGGCTGGGGTAACAAAACCACTTGCGCGTCGTTTTGTTCCTCAGTATTTTCCACCGTAGCTTTTGAAGTGCCACCGTGATCCTTCCAGTTTTCCAACGTCTTTCATGACTTGGATTTTTCATTAAGTCTTTCGTGGCTTAATTTTACAAGTCTTTCAAGACTTCTTTTATTACAAATCTTTCATAATTTGTGTTTCTGTTTAAGTCTTTCGTGGCTTATATTTTTGTGTTTTCAATTAGTGTAATATTTGGATTGTGTCGAGACAACATTCAAAAAAAAATTTAAAATCATAAAGATAGTGCGGCATTATTAATAAATTGTTTAAGTGAAAAATTGAAACCTTTGGGATTTAGCAGAGAACTACAAATTGTAAGTCCTTTGACATTATAAATTTTTCAGTGTTTTTATTTTAAAATATAGACTCTTCGGAGTCATTTGAAACCAAAATTGTGTTTTAGATTTTATTTTATTTAACCCTATCCAGTGGGTTTTATTCTTGAGAATTGTTCGAATCTCTAAAAATTAAATTCAGTGATTGAAGTTTGAGTCATTTCATTTTTGTTTTAAAAATTTTAGAGTTGACTTTTCAGGTCAAAAGTTAGTTGAATAGAAATAAAAGATTACGTCATTTTCTTGCCGTTTTGACGTGACAAAATTGGGGGCTCCTCCTAAAAAAAAATAACTTAAATCCTCATATTGGAGTTTCCATTAAGTCAAAACATTTTTTAGTACAAATTTTTATTATTAATTTCATAAAAAAAATATAGTGACGAGGCATATTCATTTATTTTTTATTATTTTTCTACATATTTTTTCCCACTACACACTGCCCCCTAAAATGTAAATCCCGCCACCGTTGGATACCCCTTCCCTCACTTTTCCCCTCATCGCCCCTCTACCCCTGCCCCTGGACATCACGAAGACATCAGCCGAAAGAAGACATCAGTTCCGGCCCCACCCGATCAATTGGAGAAGCCATCGCCTCCTGGAAATTCCCCATACTAGACCCCCGAATATTCAATACCAGCAATAATCCCTTGCGAGACATCCCTGGATTGTGGTCATCGTCACCACTCACCCGTGCTGATTGGCCCCGATTGCTCCCGAATTAAAACCCGAAGGACATCGACACCTGACGAACCCCCACGAATCGCGAAGGAAAAGAAGAGACCGTCACTCGTGCATTAGCTGCCCCGTGAGTCGCCACGTGCCCCGAAAGTAGTAATTGTGAATACAGTGAAATTCGCCCGGAAGTTATTTGGCGGATAAAAAGAGGACTTTTGATACATCGAGCTCATCCCAGCTCTAGTATTGGTGCCCAGGAAACCCCGAGGGGGAAAGGAGGCTCTCCAGGAAAACGCCCTGGTATTTGGAAGGAGTGCAAGGCGCCGGTGGAATTCCACGTGTTCGCCAAAGTGAAGTCCCATCGTGAGTACGAGTTACCCCCCTCATTTTCCCTCTTGACCCCACAATATTACCCTTCATACCCCCCAACGGTGAGCCTACATTCTTTTGTTTCTTCCCCATTTAGTTATTCTTTTTATATTTAGTTGCATTCCCTCGACACGACTAGCTTCTCCCCTTTTTCTGCATTAGAGTCACTCCCCTTTTTACGTGTACAAAAGTTGCCTGGCCTTACCCATAACCCTAGATCCAAGTAAAAGGCATTTCAAACGTCTTACGACGATCTAATCTCTAAATTACTAGAAATATAGATATTTAGTTAATTTTATCCCTCATTTGTCCTCATTATTTAATTGCCCTAAATCCCCCTTTTAGGAAATAATATTAATTAAATATTGAACGGTCACAATATATAATAATAAAATGGAAATAAAATGAGAAAAATATTTTACAATTTGAAAAAAAACAATAATATTATTCGAATTTTTGAGGAACACTGGATGGGGAATTTTAAGTAAAAAAAAAAAGAAAAATTTTCTTTTTTTTAAAATGATATTAAATGTCGGGAAACGACTCGCCCGCACCGTCAACCTCAGACGAGGATAAAAGAAAATTAAGAAGCGGTAAAATTATATCGGGAGTAATTCCAGCACCACGCGCTTATAAAAAAACAATTAATAAAACCGTCGATTCGGGTTTGGGTGATGCGACTCAAACAACAGAGCCATCATTTAATTTTGAAGGTCTTTTAAGTGACAGTTCAAGCGAAGCCGATCACTCGGTAATTTCGGAAATAAATCCAT